TAATGAACAAATAAATGAGTACAGTCTGAAGCATTAGACCACCTTAACCATTAACTTTAGACTAAACCAGACTGCCCACCACCTCCCACTGGGAATGTTCAATCCACCGCCTCTCCTCGGGCTTCCGGCCACACTCACTTGCTCTTGCGTAGAGCGTGCTCCACACTGTGGCCGCGGAACTTCTTGTAGTAGTCGATAAAGGAGAAGGGCAGGTTGATATTGAGTGGGTTGGTTCTGTCGGGAGCTGCTGCTCTCTTCCGAGACTCGAACGCGATCATCAGGTCCACCCAGGCAGCTGGCCTCTTTAATTTAAACTGGTCAATAAAATCCTGGCCGAATATCTTACACAGCAGCTTCTCAAACTCATAATCCACCCCGATGGACCCGTAAGGGCCGCCTGGAAAAGGAAGCGGTTTCAGGTGTCGTTTCAACTGAAACCTTAGCAGAAAGTAAAAAATCACTCCTTCACAGACTTACCCGAGGCCTTGTACAGCTCTTTTAGATGTCCCTCAGGAAGACGAATCTGATGGACAGTCAGGTCCACGGTTCCTCCTCCACAGTCCATGACCACATAACGATCACCTGTTGGGCAGAGCGGTAGAAACACAGAAGCTGTTTTAACTCCAGGCATCTGCAGAAACATGTTCTTCCTCCCCACAGCCTGATGCCTCCTCAGGGCTGGACACAGAAGTCCTGGTGTCCTTTGTCCTCCTGACTATGCTGTCACTTCCAGCTGGTGGTGAACCACCGGATGCAGTAAAAACATCACAGCTGGATCTAATGTGGAGCTGCAATTTCTCCAGATCAGATTTACCAATCAGAGCATAACGCTGTAGACCACCATCACACACTAAATCACTTCTGGCCTTAAAGCCTCCAAGTGGAGCATCAGGATTAGTACCTTCATCAGAAACCTGCCTTGTGCATCTGCTGCCCCCTGGTGGAGGATCCACAGGTGGGGAGGGCCAGTTTGATTTAGTAATTACTGTCAAAACTGATTATATAGTTGTTATAATAACATTAGACAAATAATTGCTCTAAAATATAGCATTGTCTCTCTCACACACACACACACACACACACACACACACACACACACACACACACACAAATGACTGAGCTGTTTGCCTTTTGACTTTATGAATCTGTACTTTTATTGTTGGGATATTGAGATAAAGACACGAGGCTGGCGTATCTAGGTGCTCCAGCTCTAGCTGGAGGGAGGAACTGTGTCGGGATGACATCAGCGGTAACATGCTGGCTGTAGTTTCTGAAGCAGCAATCTTTCTGTGTGAGAACTTAGCTCCTCTCCACAAACAGATGAATCATATTCATGTGAGACGGTGATTTTCTTGGCTTGTAGAGCAGCAGCAGGACAAAGCAGGTGTGTTAGTGATTGGTTAGCAGAGCCGTATAACACCTGAACAGGTAAGATCTCTCTGGGCTGCGACTACAGGAGACACAAAACTACAGTAAAATATATTTTCTCACTCAAGTGAAAATTTCAGATGTAGAATGAAAAAATCTTTCCAGTGAAAATGTTTTTAATTGAATTTTTTCATATTTTATCTTCATTCTGTTCCCAGTTTTGCTTCCTTTGTTGTCTCGAATCAGTCTCAACCTTGTTTCAGAGCTCTCCAGACCCTCCCAAACATAACCGAGACGCATTCTAGATGCAGACTGACTCACTCTTGTTCCTAAAACTCCTTCATGAAGGATACAAGTAGCAGCCCAGTGAGAGACCAGTTTAAAAACCAGTTAAGTGAGTCTCTGACCAGCCTGGAAGCCTGTTAGGAGAGTCATTACAGCATGCTGTTATAAACAGGTGACAAGCCACACAGTGATTAACTCTGAATCATCCCTTCAAAATAAAATATCCTGAAATTCTTTAACTTAAGCCACTTTGAGTCTGTTTTTTATGGAGAAATAAAACTTTATATTGTTAAGTTATAATAACTATAGAACTGAAGTTAGAAATCCTCCTCTGAAGGCTGAGGTTAGGCCTCAGCACTAACTGAACATGGCAGGCTAAGCTGTTCTTCAAAAACAAACATGCACTATAGTTATAACATGTTAAGGACACGTTAGCAGGATTAGGAGCAGAAGCTAACAAAAAGGAAACAGAAGAGAACAAGAGGAGAACTCTACCTTCTTCCAGCTCCGACCAAAGCTCCCCTATGACATTTTCCACCAAAAAGGTGCGACTCTGTCGGTTGCGTCGGACATGATCCTTAGCTGCTTGTTAACAGAGAGAGAATGTTGTGATGAGTGTGATGGTGGCGAGAAGCTCTGCTGTGTGAAGCTGTCATACGAAGCAGGCCGTAAGGCAAGCAGAAGCCCGAGGATCTCCCTGTTAGTTCACATGCATTTCACCATCTCAACCGCTGGCAAGCTAACCTGGAGGCTAAATCTGGAAATTTACCTTGAAAAGTGAAAACTATTTTAATTAATCTAAATGGACCGATGCTGACATCAAAACAAGTTTTTACTATGCATTAGGAAATCCCGACATCGCTCCAGTGGCGCCTCGCAGGTCGACACCGTCCATCTGTCCAATCTAAGGAATGTTGGCTAGCAGTGCCGACAACAAGCTCCAGACAACGCCACGACTGTGGACTGACCTGCTGAGCTACCAGAGCCAGCTCGTACCCTGCTCCTCCCTCCCTCTGCCCTACTGCGCCTCCCTTGATGCCCTCTACTTCTTCTCTCTCCGCTGTGATGGGCGTTCTTGCTACAAACCGTTAGCCTTAATGGTAACTGCTGTCCTACATTAGTAAGTCTCTGTGGACAAAAGTGTCCACCAGATACAAACACGACACCTCCAGAAAGGTCTGGTCTCAACCCAGTGGGGCATCCTAGAAGAAGCCAAACCACCGAGGTGGACTCCTTTCAACAAGGTGGAGATGTAGCTTTCCTTCAAGGAGTCAGGGCTTCTCTCCTCATCTCTGAGGCTGAACTTGGTACTTCTGCTGCTTAAGTCCAGGATCGTGTTTTTCTGTGACAATCTGCACCTCTGATGATGGATGAGGGTTGGAACGTGCATGGATCAGTACCTTCAGCTGGGCTCCATCTCCACCACAACAGACTAGATCTACTCTTCACAACGCAGACGAAGCTATGCTGTGTCACTGTATCTCTCCTCCATCCTACTGCATCTCAGGGCACCCAGGTGTTTGAACCACCACCTGGAAGGACTGTTTTACCTTTGTGCCACTGGGTACTCTGACCTCACACTTGGAGGAGTGATCAGAAATCCTGATTGGTGGTTTCACCACCAACTACCCCGTCAGGCCTTCACTACCGTCTCTGTCCACTGGGCCCAATCCTCCACTCTTTTACTAAATAAACCTGGACTCCATCTGAATGTCCTTCCTGTCTTATCTGGCATCACCTTGTTATTATAAAATTTGTAACCCCATCACAGCCTTTCTCTTTCACCCAAACACACGCTCACAAAGTGGGGCCATCTGGGGGAATCGTGTCCTCAGCAGACCTGTAGGGGAGGTTGAACCTCTGTTCTCATGGGAAGACAGCATCTGTTGCTAGGCAACATGGAGCTTTCTGCCTTATCACCTGACAGGATGTCTGCTCTGGTAGCAGAAGAGTTTACAAAAGAAAAGATCACAATTCTAAAGAAGAACTTGCTAAATGCCTTCCAGAGACCTACAACGCCCCAAAGCACTTTACCACATCAACCATTCACATGCCGGTGGCTGTGATGAGCTACATGGGGGCTAACTTGAGGGGCGGCTGTGGTTTAGTGGGTAGAGCAGTCAGGAGGTTGATGGTTTAACTCCGGCTGTAGACGTGTCCTTGTGCAGGATACTGAATGCGGGTCTCGGTGACTGTGACTTGTATTAAAACGGGTTTTGAATGATTAAAGAAACTAGAAAAGTGCTCCAATAAGGGTTAGGCCCATGAAACTGGACTTCACCAGAAATCCTCTTGTGGACGTTGGAGATGGTTCTGTGTGTTTGTCCCATGAGCTTGTCTGGGTTGTACTCGGGAAACAGGTGCGGTGGCTCTAATGTAGGTCATCTGCAGCATCAACCCTACATTTAGAGGCTCTGCTGGGAGAAGCCTGGAATAATTACAGGGTAGCTGTCACTAGTCAGTGTCTCACCTGCACCAGACAATCAGGGATGAAAGGTTGTGAGGGAGGGAACTAATCAAAGTCTTACGTACATGTTATCGTGTCTCTCGTGCATCAGAATCAAACTGAAAGGTTCTCACGGTAAAAAACAGACCCAGTCAGAGCTGATGGTGCAAATAAATGACTTTGGTAACACTTTAGTTTAGGGAACACAAATTAACCATTAATTAGCTGCCACTTAATATGCATATTAGTGGACTGCTAAGTCAGAACTACTCATTATTAAGCACTTATTAACAGCTTATTACTAATGCTGTTATTCTAACATAACAGGCCATAAATTAAGAGTTTTATCAAAATAAGCTTTTCATAATGGTTCGTTAACTGAAAGTAAATGGCTTGTTGCTGATTAACACACATGCTAATTATCTCAAATCAATATGTGGCTTTTAAAGAAGTAATTCAAGGGGAACAGTTATTCTGCATTAATAACCAAAAATATTATGTTCTGGTATGTAAATAAACACCAAACTCCACATGTTAATAGAGCCTAAACAACAATCAATTAACCACTTGTAAGCAAGAACATGTTCCCCATTCTAAAGTCAGATGTTGTTCATACCTAATTACTAGTAGTTTAGTATTAATTAACCACTTAAAGGCAAGAATATGTTCCCCTTGAATTACCTCTTTAAAAGCCACATATTGATTTGAGATCATTAGCATGTGTGTTAATCAGCAACAAACCATTTATTTTCAGTTAACAAACCATTATGAATGGCTTATTTTGATAAAACTCTTAATTTATGGCCTGTTAATGTTAGAATAACAGCACTGGTAATAAGCTGTTAATAAGTGCTTAATAATGAGTAGTTCAGACTTAGTAATCCACTAATATGCATATTAATTGGCAGCTAATTAATGGTTAATTTGTGTTCCCTAAACTAAAGTGTTGCCATGACTTTTATTATCAGGTTTTGATTTTAATTTACTGCCCGACTCCACCGTTCTTCACGCTACTCCAAACTGAGATGATTCACGCTGCTCCATACACCGATTCGCCCGTCGATCACGAGGCAAAAAATAGACGTTAACTTTCCACTAACCAGTCTGCTGTTCTTCCTGCATTACTGAACCCAACAGGTTACAGCGGCATTCCTTTTGTTTTTAAAGTAGCTCACGAAAAAACACCTCAACATCACCAAGTCACAAGCTGTGACGACTAAACAAAGGAATCATGCAGCAACAGACGGGTTCGACATCCTGGCAGCAGCAGAAAGTCCATTAAGTTCAAAAACTTTTACTCGACACAAACAAGTCGAGCATGTTGAACGCCACAACTACGGTTTAAGAACGAAGCGTTGGAGCCACGTCGACTCCGGTTAACTGGGTGAAGCAGGAAGACCTGCAGACTGCAGATGGCAGGGACGTTTCCTGCTTCACTAAAGAACAAGAACACAACTCTCATTTTCTTCTCCAAGGGCCTGAGAGAGGTCACATGACATCACTCTACAGCTCCAGCATCACTTCGCCCAAACAACCGCTCTGGCATGAATCCTTCTGGGTTCAAGACCTCCACAGGAATCCTTATGAGGAAGATCGGAGGTGATTTAATCACCCTGAGCGCTGGCTGGGTGGAGCAGATGGCTAACGTGTTTGTGTTCTCAGAGAACGCTCTTCTAAAACCAGCTGAGCTGTAAAGACCGCAAACGTTTCGCTAAAATCTCAGAAAACGAATCAAATCCATAAAACATCTTTGAAACTTGACTCAGACTTCTCCTGTCTGTCTGAGGATGCTCGCATAGAAAGGTGTGATCGTTTATCTGGAGAAAAACATCTTCAAGGACAAAAAATACAGAAAAACATGACAAACAAACCAAATGGGTGAAAAGGTGGAAATCTAAGCAGGAACAAACATGTTTTCTATAATTATTTGATGCGTGAAAGTAAAACCTGGGAGATGAAAAGGCAGCTTTACGCTCCGGTCTGGTTTCGTACGGATACGTTATTTACATGACTCATCGTTATGTCTGCTTGCTTGTACTGCACGTTGCTCGTCCTTCTGACCTGTTATTGTAGATCAGCTGATAAGGACTTGTTTAGGATTTGGGATCAGACTCCAACCTGGCCTGAACGTAAACCTGTCTCCTCTGTTGGTGCTGGTGTGGAGACCAGGTCAACACAAACGCATCACTACTCTGCTTCTTTTGGCCAATGATGAAATAATAATCCAGAATTAACATCTTACGCTGTAAAATGATGCTTAAACAGAAGCAAAAGCAAAACGAAACATGAATGTGTCAAACTAATCAAATAGAACGTGTGCCTCTGAACCCAGAGCTTGTGTCGAATGGTGAAAAGTTGTTTACCATGAGCAGGAGACAATGGAGAGAAAAGACATCAAGCAGGAGGAAAACGGGTGATCAGATCAGGATAAACGAGCTGACGTACGTTTGGTTAACATGATAGACCAGGTGTCATCATCCAGCTCAACCTGGGAGGTGAAGAACGTACCTGGGCTCATTCCACCTCCAACGTTCTCATTGGGACTGAAGCCGTTCTGAGTGGTCTGCGTTCCCAGGTCAACCATCTGATGGAGGCGGAGTTTCCGACAGTAGATTGAAGCCGCTTCAGGTTCTAAAGCGATGATCAGCTGTTCTGGGTTTTCACGAGACACCAGACCAGCCTGGAGAGGAGAGGAGGGGACAACGTGGTTCAGCCGTCTCATCCCTCCATTAGATGGAACCAAACCTTTTACACTACCTCGTCTTTCGTCTCACGTTTACTGTGTTCTTATGTTTGTTTGTTATTAATGTAAACTCAAGTTAATCAACCTATCCATCCATCCCTCCTCCCCCCACCGCATATCCAAGGTCAGGTTTCTGAGGATAAAGAGTTTGGAACCATCTGACCCTCGAGCTCTCCCTGGAGGATCCCGAAGGGATAAATAATCTTTAGTGATTTCTGGGCCTCCACCTCGTAGGGTATGGGGGGGTTAGGGTTGCGTTCGGCCAAGGAAACTCTAGAGGAGGTGACCAGTAGGCTCCTAATCAGGTGCCTGAAACACCTCTGCTGAGTCCCTGTGAGGAGGAGGAGCAGTGGCTCTACCCAGAGCTCCTCCTGGATGATGCAGCTCCTCACCTTACCTCTAAGGTTGACCCCAGCGTCACTTCAGTGAAAGATTGACGTAGTTGCTTGAATCTGGGACGCTCTTTTACTGGTTACGATCCTGATGTCATCACTGTAGACGATGAAGACGAAAACATGAACTAACGAGTGGGTCCATAGCTTTGTCGTTCAGCTCTACGCTTCCTTCACCACGACAGAACAAAGCCACCCCCCCCCCCCCCCCCCCCCCACTGAGGACGAAGCTCTTATCCACCAGTCATGGGCTGTTTCTCATATGCATACTTGTCCGAACTTGTGTACTCGTGTCCTTGTGAAACGTCATCATCGATGGCCCAAGGACCCCTCCAATCCTAAGTATGCATTACAGCAAGTTTGCTCAAAGTTCCTGGATGAGTTTTTGCTCCGCCTGTTGTATAGAGAATACATGAATGAATTCTTCCGCAGACTTGGGACAACAAAGTTTCCCACAATGCATTGCATTGCAAACTGTTAAACTCCGAACGTCGGAGGAGAAAGCTAATTAACTGTAATGTTTTATGTTAGAAATGTAAATAAAATAATCTAAAGTTTTCTGTTATCGTAAACTGTAATTATTGCTGCGTGTTTGGGTTTTATTTTTTCCGATCCTTCAAAATGCTCATTAGCTAACCCATTACCAAAATAAAAGCACCCTAGCTCTGTTCTGATGAAAAATACACTTTTTTTAATTCATTAAAGAGCAGGAAATGCTAGTATTTTAATAGTTTTTATAAAAAGTAGGTCAAACATAATACAAATAATATGTTTTTCTTGTTATTTTAGGGACAAACAAGACTTTTATTTTTATGCCAGGTTGTTTTTTTAACTGTAGCAAGAAGCAGCACTTGTTGCCAGGACACAACAGAGTAGGATTCTGTTCCAAATGCCGTCCTCGTCCTCCCGTACTCGGTAGAACAGACTTTCTGGTGTCCTTGCCAAGAACATACTTGTTTTGTACACAAGAACGTACCTGTCTAGTACACAAGAACGTACTTGTCCAGTACACAAGAATGTACTTGTCTAGTACACAAGAATGTACTTGTCTAGTACACAAGAACGTACCTGTCTAGTACACAAGAACGTACCTGTCTAGTACACAAGAATGTACTTGTCTAGTACACAAGAACGTACCCGTCTAGTACACAAGAACGTACCTGTCTAGTACACAAGAACGTACTTGTCTAGTACACAAGAACGTACCCGTCTAGTACACAAGAACGTACTTGTCTAGTACACAAGAAAATACTTGTCTAGTACACAAGAGCGCACTAGCGTAAAACGGCGGGAACCCCTGTGACGGCTGCTCATCCTGATCCAGGTTCTGCTGAAGGTTGTTTCCTGTTAAAAGGGAGTTTTCCTCTCCACTGTCGCTGCATGCTTGCTTAGAATGAGGATTGCTGTAAAGACTCCGACACTAGTCAGTGATTCGATGCAACCTGCTGGGTTCCTTACATAGGAAACTTTTAACTAACCGGTGTAATGAACTGATCTGTATTGGAATGTTTACGTGAAGCGCCTTGGGACGAGACGTGTCGTGATTTGGCGCTATATAAATAAACCCACTTGAATAATTTCATAAATGTTCCTGGTTTATGGCTCGTAGGCAGAAGCCTTTATCTCAGGATGATCAGATCTAAGGGATGGGCCTATTTAGACCCAGACCAAACACCTAAATATTCCTGACTGTGTGAATTTATTCAGATCTGGCTCTGGCTGAGGGTTGCGTTGTGCTACCAGCGGATAATTTCATCAGAGAAAGCATGACTGCTGCTTCCTCCTCCGTCCTCTGTAAATGAATCCCACTGCCCGATGCTGAGTCACTGTACACATCGAGCTTCCTCCTCCCCTCTGTGTGACTGTAATCACATCCTCTCCCCCCACCCGGTCAGTTAAAGTCCCTCCTCCTTTATGCAGCATCTTGTCATCCTCTGCAGCGCTCTTCTCTTCTTTATAACGTCGTCATCAACATTCACAGGCTGGAATGGAGACGCTACCGGGGCCAGTATTAAACCATGTCACTGTGTTCTATGATTCGTTTCAAAATAAAGGAAAGATGTATGTTTTATAATTTGGACTGAAGCACTATGGGAGCATGTTTGACTGTTTTTCATTAGAAATGACAGACTTGTGGTTGGCTGTTTCTCTGCTGGCCTTCCTGCAGACAGCCACACCCACGGTCTGGAGATGCTGACACGTTAAACTCCCTACATGACCAAGCTGAGAATAGAATGTTCTAGTGACAGCACAGCTCATCTGTGGCAGGAAATCAGGAAATGGACCTGATCGAATCTTATGAGTCACTGACACTCATGCAGAAAAACAGCCGTCGCAACAGATGATTATAGACATCGATAATCTAGTTGTTGCCAAGTTTGGCCCGAGTGTTGCTTTTCACCAAGATTTCTGCTTCTGTGTTTTTAGAGGTTTTTATTAACAATTACATGAAGACATGGAGTAGAAGAGAAATTCAGGAAAATACAGTCATCACCTTTAGGAGAGCTATGGGCAGCAAAACTCTCAGAAACATCCTAATCTGCTTCTCTGTGCTAGCTTATACGATCACCTGGCCACATGTGAATTTTTAAAATGCTTTAGAGTAGAAAACCAGGCTAGCACTCTGTAGTACTCGCTGGCAAAGTCATTCAAAGAAAAGCTTAAAAGGCTTCAGGAATGTCACAAACTTAGACAGGACGGGAACGTTTTGCCATTAGCTCTGCTTTTTCTCAAGAACTCTGACTATAAGACTCATCTTCCTTCAATAATTCAGCCTTTTCAAATCAATTCAATTCAAAAATACTTTATTAATCCCAGAGGGAAATTGATTGCTGTAGTAGCTCAGAATAATAATAATAATCAAGTCCTCAAAGAGTTGTTGTATATTACAATGGCTGTTGGCAGGAAGGATCTACAGTAGCGGTCTTTAAAGTTCTTCAGTCTTTAAAACACCAATACCTCCTTAAAGAACCTGGTGTTTGATGTGTTTGTGCTTGCATTCCCCTCATTATCTTACTGCTAGCTTTAAGTTCACCCATCACTGAGTCTGCAATAGCAAGCAATAGCCTGATCGTAAAGCATGTTGGTGACGTTTGTGTAGATGTAGCACGACTCACAGTCTGCTGTTGTTTGGTCCTTTTTGCACTCCCCGTAATAATGGAGAATCAGGATTTAACTTTAAGGCTATAAAGGTCTTTAGGACAACAAAGAGTTTAGTGTTTACTTGTATTTTATAGATGTAGAAGTAGCAGAGCAGCTGTGGGGCAGGTGCCCACCTAGCCATCCCCATAGACCCACCCCTGCTGAGTCACCATTTTCTGGTGTGAGGGAGAGCTGCTTTTCATGGTTGGTAGCTGATGTGATAACTCCTTTGTGTGCTAACTAGCTGCTGTGCTAGCTAGCTGGTGTGCTCTGTAGTTGGTGTGCTAAATAGCTGCTGTGCTAACTAGCTCCCATGCTAACTAGCTGTTGTGGTAACTAATTGGTGTGCTAACTAGCTGCTGTGCTATATAGTTGGTGTGCTAACTAGCTGATGTGCTATCTAGTTGGTGTGATAACTAGCTGGTGTGCTATCTAGCTGCTGTGCTATATAGTTGGTGTGCTAACTAGCTGCTGTGGTATCTAGCTGCTGTGCTATCTAGTTGGTGTGCTAACTAGCTGCTGTGCTATCTAGTTGGTGTGCTAACTAGCTGCTGTGCTATCTAGTTGGTGTGATAACTAGCTGGTGTGCTATCTAGCTGCTGTGCTATATAGTTGGTGTGCTAACTAGCTGCTGTGGTATCTAGCTGCTGTGCTATCTAGTTGGTGTGCTAACTAGCTGATGTGCTAGGCCTGCTTGTTCTTAAAATGAAACTATTTTATTGGATCTCACCAATCGTGCATTACTTATAAGCCATTCACATCTGTACCGGGTCGGCCCGGGCCGGGTAGTGTAGGTTGTTTACATATCTGGGTGGCCTGGTATTTTTCCGGGCCAACCAAGGCTCATTCTCAGCCCTCTTCTCGAGGGGGTCTGCTTCAGGCCGACCAGGGCCAACACACCCACTGCTGACAGCAAATTCACACCTTCCATTAGAGCAAGCCTCTGATTGGTGGGTAGAATCAGCCCACATGGGCTTAAGACAAGGATGTGTGGAATCAACCGGGCCAGGCTGGGGCCGACTGGGGCTACCCGGCCCGGGCTGACCCGGTACAGATGGGAATGGCCCATTACAGAAGGGCTGTTTTAAAGTTTGGGACCAGATGGATCTACAGTAGGTTTATGACGTTACTTTAGCCGGCTGACCGTCAGGCTTTCTTTCTGCATCCTCTACCACTAACTGTAGGTGGCTGAATGTTTGTGTTTGCCAGGCATGAATGAGTCCTGGTTTCTGTAACACAGTTTGAATCCTTCTGGACCGTAATGGTGAACGTTTTCTATTAAACAAGGAAAGTTTTAAGGCACCACCATAAACGAGTGTCATCTCTTCCTCTAAATTTCAAAATCTCTGCTCCTGATTGGAGAGAGACCAGAGCTGAGGTCTCAAAACAGAAAATATTGGACAGTTTTTTTTGTTTTTGGCTCACCTTATAGGCAGCTTCCCTCATGAACTGCTTTGCAGGCATTTTCCAAATGGCAGGAACTGTGATCACCCATCTGACATCATTGTTGTCGAATTCACTGCCAGTCTGATCGCTCAGCTCCTGCAGAGGAAAGATTTAAACATGGAGGCTGGAGCCTTGCTGTGGGCTCAGAACCACACAGGAATTCCTGTTTAAATAACCGTACGGTGTTTCTTTTATTTTTGACCACCTACACCTCAACATCACTCAGCATTACAAACATGGTTGTGCTGATAAATCTGTCTTACCTTTAATGCTTGTTCTTTGAAGAATGCCAGTGCGTATGCAAAGATGTCCAGAGCTTTAACTCGTTTCCCATTGGCTGCGTGGATGTCCGTGTCGATGGACAGGTTCTGAGGATAGAGGCATCAAAACTAACAGCTGTTTGATAGAATAAAATAAAAAGAAAACAAGATTCAGCAAGTATTTAAAATGATCACAGGCTTCAGGGAAATGTCATATGGTGGGGGCGGGGCTTAAAACTTGCACTGCAGCCAGCTACTGGAGGGCGAACTTGTTAGTCTTGGGTTTCGTTCCTGTCTGGCTCCTCTTTGGTGTTGTTTCAAACCCAAACCTTTAAATGAGACTCTAGGAAAACGCAACTACACATCACTGATCTAAATCCGCTACCGGGCCTCGGACCCATATTCCAAGTGTACGACGTGAGCAGAAACTGGAGAGGTCTGCATCCCACCAGAAGTGAGACAGTCTCTGAGCAGATAAACTGCAGCTGCCAGCAGGAAGAACCCCAGAGCTGTTGGGAGTTTATCGATCACGTTGGGTCAATGTTCACTATTTATGGATTCTTACCGCAGTGGTGTGAAGCTTCATTTTGAACTTCTCCAGGTAGAGCCAGTGTTTGGACTCACTAGGGTCCAAGTCATGGTAGAAATCCCGAGCTGCGTAGCCGAAGCTGTGGAACTTCCTGTCTGGAGTCAGAAGGATGGTGGTTGGAGTCTTCTGATTGGACACGCCTGGGTCTCCACCTTCCCAACGCCTAGAAGACACGTCCATTATTCAGGACTCAGGTCACCCATTCATCAGCTGGACATTCCTGCTTCTACATCCTGCAGTTATTACTGGTCATATATTTTAATCCCAATGGTTTAAACATTACTCTGGGTTTAGTCTGAATCTTCTACCAGTAACTTCTAAATAATCAACAGATGCATACATCAGTGATTTATTTCTTTGTGCAAACTTCTATGACCTTTAACCTCCAGCTACAGGAGATCCCAGAGTAATAAGGAACAAATAGAGGTCAGATATTCTGAGAACTTGCTCTGTTCCCTGAGAGACGTCAGAGACAGAAATAAAAGGACCTAATTTCACGAACGGCTTTGGGCTGCTACAAGTACGGGTTGTTAGAAGTTTGATCTTCATGTGGAAAATATTCAGCATAGAATTAATCTGAAGTCTGCTTTGTTGATTCATGAGATTCACATCAGCTGCGAGTTATGCTTCTGAGTTTAGTCATGCTTCTAGTCTCCTTGAGTCCATGAGAATGGACCTGTAACCTGTGGACAAATCCTGGCTGCACGATATTAGGAAAACATTTAGCTGTGCGATTATTGGTTAATATGATATTTGAGCTGTGATAAACCCACACAACACTGTAAGTATTTTACTTTCTTATGTAAACCAGTTGTATCCATTCAGGGGGTCGACCTGACTGACCAGTTTTAGGATATTAATATTATAAACATTAATATTGTCATGGCCATTTCTGGAATATTATGCAGCTCAAGACTAAATGTTAAATTCTAACAATAGTTAACATCAGGGCTGTTAGTTAACCCTATATAATGCTGTTAGTTAACCCTATATAAAGCTGTTAGTTATCCCTATATAAAGCTGTTAGTTACCCCTATATAAAGCTGTTAGTTAGCCCTGTATGAAGCTGTTAGTTACCTCTATATAAAGTTGTTAGTTACCCCTATATAAAGCTGTTAGTTACCCCTGTACAAAGCTGTTAGTTACCCCTATATAAAGCTGTTAGTTACCCCTATATAAAGCTGTTAGTTACCCCTATATAAAGCTGTTAGTTAGCCCTGTATGAAGCTGTTAGTTACCTCTATATAAAGCTGTTAGTTACCCCTATATAAAGCTGTTAGTTACCCCTGTACAAAGCTGTTAGTTACCCCTATATAAAGCTGTTAGTTACCCCTATATAAAGCTGTTACTTACCCTTGTATGAAGCTGTTAGTTACCCCATATAAAGCTGTTAGTTACCCCTATATAAAGCTGTTAGTTACCCCTGTATAATGCTGTCAGTTACCCCTATATAAAGCTGTTAGTTACCCCCGTATGAAGCTGTTAGTTGCTCTGTATAAAGCTGTTAGTTACCCCTATATAAAGCTGTTAGTTACCCCTGTGTAAAGCTGTTAGTTATCCCTGTATAAAGCTGTTAGTTACCCCTGTATAAAGCTGTTAGTTGCCCCTGTATAAAGCTGTTAGTTACCCCTGTATAAAGCTGTTAGTTACCCTGTATAAAGCTGCTAGTTACCCCTATATAAAGCTGTTAGTTACCCCTATATAAAGCTGTTAGTTACCCCTGTATGAAGCTGATAGCTTCACCTATATAAAGCTGTTAGTTACCCCTATATATAAAGCTGTTAGTTACCCCTATATGAAGATGTTAGTTACCCCTGTATGAAGCTGTTAGCTACCCCTATATAAAGCTGGTATTTACTCTGTATAAAGCTGCTAGTTACCCCTATATGAAGCTGTTAGTTACCCCTGTATATAAAGCTGTTAGTTACCCCTATATAAAGCTGTTAATTAACCCTATATGAAGCTGTTAGTTACCCCTGTATAAAGCTGTTAGTTGCCCCTATATAAAGCTGTTAGTTACCCTTGTTTAAAGCTGTTAGCTACCCCTATATAAAGCTGTTAGTTACCCCTGTATGAAGCTGTTAGTTACCCCTATATAATGCTGTTAGTTACCCCTATATGACGCTGTTAGTTACCCCCATATAAAGCTGTTAGTTACCCCTGTGTAAAGCTGTTAGTTACCCCTGAATGCATAAATCACATCCAGGACACCTTCGGCAGCGTGATGTTGCGCTGATGTGGATAATCCCCCCACCCCCACCATCACACACACACCACAGTGAATGTCTGCATTGCAGTGCCGGCTCACCTCATGGTGTGAATGCACTCTGGCTCCTTAGTAAAGGCGTAAGCATAACCGCTGGAGGTGGTGCCAAAGTCGATGGCAACCACAACCACGAAGGACGGTCCAGTCTGCATCTGGTCTGTGTCATTCTGCTGCGCGCACACACACACACACACACACACACACACACACACACACACACACACACACACACACACACAACACACACACACACACACACACACACACACACACACACACACACACTGAGTCACCTATAATATACAGTAAAACATTTAAAGATGTGGGACACTTGATTAATTAATACATTTGTAGTTGTGGTATATTTTCCTTATAGTTGAGGTATACCCATGAAGAAAATTACAAGCTTCTCTCAATTCCACAGTTGGAGGCTGACTAAATACTTTTTTGCACCACTAAATGCACATGAAACAGAGGCAGACGGATGCGGAGTTGTTTTAAGGCCAATGCTGATACCGATCATTAAAGAATTTTGTTGCTGATGGCAGATATATAAAGCTGATATATATATATATATATATATATATATATATATATATATATATATATATATATATATATATATATATATATATATACATATATACATATATATATATATACATATATATATATGCATATATATATACATGTATATATATATATATATATATATATATATATATATATATATATATATATATATATATATACATATATACATATATATATCCACATTTTGGCAGCACATTTATTGTTCAAGACAACTGAAAACTCACTGTGTGCAATATAAACTAGAAAAATGTGCATTTATTGCACAAATGCTGTTTGAATGCTGGATAGCTGACACTGTAAGCTGAAGCTGCTGAACAGCTGAACTGAAGCTAAAACTAAGCAAAACTGTCAAATTGAGCTGAATGTCTTGAAAGATGTAGAAGCAAAAAGTACCAACAAGCAAATAAAGCACGAAAAGCAAGTGAAGAATAGAGAAAAATAATGCTAAATAGCAAAAAACTGAAATCTGTGAACATTGTATAAAAATCTGAAGAGCTAAAATGTCTAAACACCTGTTATTTCAGTTGGACAAGTTTAACGGTTTAATCTTTACATTTAGCTGAACTGTGAAATTAGCAGTTTATGCTAAATTCGGTAACTGATTGCTGAAGCTGTTGAATAGCTGAAGTAAGCTGAAACTAAGCTAAACTGTCCAATGAGTTGAATGCAAGGGCGTCAGTTTGTTTTCAGAATTGCTGGGGACAATAACCATACACTTGAGTGGGGTTTAAAAATTGCTGGGGACAATAAAGTAGGCTAGCACAGGGGTCGGCGGCTCTGGAGCCGCATGCGGCTCTTCCATCCATCTGATGCGACTCTCTGTGCTTGTAAAATAATGAATGGATATTTAAATAAAAAGCTTTATATTTTACTGCTTTAATTTTACATCTGCATGCCAATTCTAAATGTAAAGATTGTCTGCGTAAACCTGAACAGGTCCAACCCGGTCTTACTGTGAGACCGGGTTGACGCGTCACGCTTGTGCGTAATCATATGCGCTTCCTGAGCTGGAGGATGTCAGATTCTGGGCTTCTCCTCAGACAGGTTCCTGGATGCGTCGCCACATTGGAGACAGGAACAAGCTCTATTCAGCCAAAGTTTCATAATCAGGTGTGGCAGTGTGAGTGTCCTGTCACAGTGTCCCGATAGATCATGCGCCCTGGCTACTTGGTCAAGGGGTTGTCCCTTTGGCTGACTGGTCAGAGCGTATGACTCTCACCCGGGAGTCTGGGGATTGAATCCCGCCCGGGTCCTCGTTTCTCCACCTTGCCACATATTGACGGATAAACTCAAGGATGTTGGTTGTTTTGAAAGAATTACCCCGACGCACACTGATGCGGATGGATGAGCTGACATTTTAATCGTTACGCACATCGCAGAGGTAACTTGATTCCCATCAGAACATCAGAGCTTTATACTGGACACTGTGTTCAGCGCGGCTCGGAGCGCACGGTGGACAGTGGGCTGAAGATCTGAGGGGTTCGCAGCGCACTTTACATTTTACGGTGCATGCGATGATTTCCTCCCACTGAAGCGGTCTGGAAACCCGGTCTCTCTGAGGGATGTGTCACTTGGAAAAATGTTCTTTTTATGAAATTATTAAACTTTGGCTGAACAGCGCTTGTTCCCGTCTCTAATATGGAGACGCATGACGCATCCAGTCTGAGGCAGAATAGCCTCTTCAGCTCAGAAAGCACCTGTAGAGACATTTGATCACGCACAAAGTTTATGTGGAGCAGAAGTGGTCGGGCCACGGCAGGTGAAACGTTCCTAGCCTACATGAAGTGAAACTGTTTAATTGTAACATTAATATGTTACTGGACACGCTGGTCTGGTTGGTTAGACCAGTGTTTGAAGCGGAAAACACACACACACACACACACACACACACACACACACACACACACACACACCAATTTAAATAATGCTGATAGCGTGGACTAGAAGACTGGTGATGGTTTACGTATTTAAATGATGATCAGACTGCTGTAAAATGTAATCTTCATCCACATCCAGGCAGAATTATCCTCTATTTGCTCTGCTCTTGTCTGGGCTGACGTAGCTGACGGTGCGCGCGGCGCGCCTAACTAGCGGCTGATGCACATTTTACGCATTTGGAGAGGTGGGCTGGAAGCTTTGCTTTTACTGGAAGATGGTCCACTTAACGCACGGGTGTAGACTACATATTAATGACAAATGAATGAAAATTAAATTGTGAGTTTTTACTTCATATTTTATAAATAAAAATGACGGGGGAACACATTTATGACGTCTTTTTAAACAAAATTTTCTAGCGCGACCTGCCTGCTTCACTTAAGTCACTGCTTATTAAGGTCCGTCCAGAATTACCGTGGCCCAAACCTCTGCAAATTGTTGTTCTTCACTTTATCAAACTCAGACTTTGTACAGCTAATATCAAGATGTAAAATTATGAATTCAGTCGCGCTCTTCCGTCCCTCCCTCTCCTGATCTCCTGGAAACCCGACATCGGCTGTCAGAAGCGGGAGGTGAAGAAGGAGATGAGGCAAACAGAGTGAGTGCGACGTAAAGAAACCAGACTGGTGTGGAGGTGAGCAAAACAGAAGGAAAAGTGTGGGTGTTGAATCCCCCACGGGTGCAACGCCCATGCGAGCGACCGGCACCGGCTGCTGTCACCTGGTTGTGAGCAGCGCTCTGCTGTCTGAGGGTAGGCCCCGCCCACAACGCCGCAGCTGCTGCGGTGTTTTCTTTACTGTGGGAAATGGGTAATAATGGCTCTTTGATGGGAACAGGTTGCCGACCCCTGGTAAGCTGGTAAAACAAAAATCCTCATCAGCAGGCTTTTTTTTAAAGTGGGGGAGACACAGCTGCCCATCACAAATTTTGCCGGGGACATGTCCCCGGCGTCCCCGGTTAAAATGACGCCTATGGTTGAATGTAGTGAAAGATGTGAAAGCAAAAAGCACCAACAAGCAAATAAAGCACAAAAATTAAGTGAAGAATCAAGAAAACTAATCCCAAACTGCAGAAAACTGAAATCTGTGAATACTGTTTAAAAAAATGGACAGCTAGAATGTCTAAACACCTGTTATTTCAGTAGGACTAGTTTAATAGTTTAAATTTTACATTTAGCTTAACAGCATTCAAACAACAAGTCAATAAATCTCTTAATATTTATTGAACCTCAGATATTATTATTATTGAACCTGAAAATAATTTCAGCCGAGGGCCAATATAGAAAAAAATGAATGCATCGGCTCGACATATCGGGCGGCCTCTAACATAAGGGAAAGATATATGCTATGCAGTCCATATTAACTCACATTTAAACCATGAAATGATCCCTTGTTAATAAATCATAGGAACTTATACCGCCTTACCCAGCTGATGTGATCCTCTGTGAGCTATGTGAGACTCACCTGGACGTGTGACGGAGACAGGGGGGTGATTCCTGGGTCCCCCAGGCTCTTAGCCGGAGATGGGTTGGCCATCGCGTCTGTAGTGGAGGAAACACAAACATATTATTAATCAATTTAAACTTTCTGTTACGGATTCATTTACCCCATTACAAGAATCGTCTTTATAGCACTGCAACAGATTGTTAGAAATACATTTATTAGGTCTCATTTTCCACATTTCACTGTTTTTAGACATTTTTACATTTATAATTGTTTTCTAAAACTTTAAATAATTTTCCAAATCTTTAAAAGAAAACCTTTTCAGGTGGAAAATTTTGATCTGTGTTAACACTGGACACATGGAAGCCTGGATGTCTTCATGGACTCAACAGAACTCTTACAAACCCCCCCCCCCCCCCCCCCCCCCCTACCCCCCACCCCCCCAAAAGGTTAAACATTAGAAAAAATAAAAATACGCTCTAATCTTTTGTAAGCCGGCTCAACTTTTAAGAAGAAAAACTACAAAACAATTAGAATAAAAGAGTTTAAACTAATGTTTAAGGATTTAATGGACGACCTTTAAAGGGTTAATTCCACATTTTAAAGGTAACTGGCAGTGACGCTAAACACCGTCATGAAGGGATTTAAAATGTGGTGAATATGTTTGTGTATTGTTGTTTGTTTCAGGGTCTCCGATCTTGGGTCAGAAGCTTTGAACAGTTCAAAGGTCAGTATGTGACATCATCATCATCTGTCTGGTAGTTAGGTTTGGAAAAAAAAGTCATAAAAGATTAAAACAGTTCAGCTCCCTCCAACCCGTTGAAGCCATAAAGGCTGTTTCTACTGTGGCTGGATCATAAAAAACAGATTTATCATAATCAAAGCATCACTAAATCATCGCTGAACCACACAACCATGTTAGCTGATCCCACAGCTGAGGAAACGACAGGTTTAAACCTCAGATTTGGACGTGAAGCTGCAAAGCCTTCAGGACGTTAGAGCCTCTGCGTCGCCATTGGTGGCGTCTCAGATCACGCAGCAATCAGCTGTGGTCAAACAAAATAAAAATACATAACCTGTCTTCGGCTTGGTCTTAGTTGCTGCACGGAGGACTGTTTGAAAATGTCCCGTGTGTACAAAGAGGGGGCACAAATACAGCGACCCAGAACCAGGCGGCGGGCACCAGGGAACTCGGCCCCGCTCCTCGTCTGGTGCAGCGCTGCAGAACGACAACACGCTCTCCGATCAAAGAGAACAAACGTCTGTTGCACCTGTCTTTTAAACACAATGACATTTCAATTGAGTTGGAGATTGTCTCCCCATTTGCCACCATCATTTTCATTAGTCTGCTTTAATAGCCTTCACAGAAAGTGTTCTTTGAGCGCATACAATAATAATCCTCCCTTGACGTATTGTAAGTGTCTGGCAGAATTGTCTCACAACGGGACATCATGTTATCATCCTATTTTTCTGCCTCGCTCACCCTTTTCTCTAGTCCACCCCTACGGAGCAGATGAGTGGTCTGAAGACCCATAATACACTTTGCCAGGCAATTACGGTGCAGAATTACAGCCCACCTGTGGCTAGGCTCCATCTAGCTGCCACCATCTCGCTCGCCGCCCAAAAGCGCTCCACAGAAATCACCTTTACGACTTGCACTCTTTCTCCTCGGCAACAGCTTCAAAAATCTAATCACAGTTAAATGTAATTCCATAATAAATATCCCAAAAGCTGCATCGTCAGAGCGTCATTAAACAACAGAACTCCTTTAAACCTGAATGTTTAGCCTCTAAATTCCTGAACTATCTGATAATATGTCAGAATAATTGTAGTTTTTCCTGTCTAGAGATTATAATCTGTAAAAACACTCAACTGGGATTGGAAGGAGAGACCCCATCATGCTAGCGCTAGCTTCTCTGCACTGGCTCCCGGTGTTTTATCAATCCTCCTCTATGTGTTCAGGGTGCTGCAGGGCAGAGCTCCCCCATATCTTGCTGACCTGCTGCAGCGTCGTGTCCCCACTTGCCCCTTGGCTCTGCTGAGCAGCAGTTGCTGGAAGACCCCCGCTCTAAACTCAGATCAAGCGGGGACCGGGCCTTCTCGGTAACGGCCTCTACACTCTGGAATGATCTCCCTCTGGCAGTGAAGCAAGCTGCTTCTCTTCAGGAGTTGAAGTCTCACCTGAAAACACTTTATCTACTAGCTTTCCCCCAACATCGCTCACCCTGGCTTTTGTACTTTTACTCTTTGTACTGTATGGCTTTTAAATACTTTTACTTGTACTTTACGTTATTTTTTTTATAAATTAAACTCTCGTGTCTCTATTATGTTGTTTTACCCTTGTTTCTATGTGCTGTTCAGCACCTTGGGCCTCCAATAAGGTGGTAGGTGCTATATAAATAAATCTGATTGGTTGGTTGATTGAACTGGTATGACGCTTGAATCTAACCCTTCTTAAACTACCCACACATACCTGTGGCTTCTTTGTTCTACACAACAACAAAGCTGCAAAAGTAACTCGTTAGCTAACGCCAAACCACAGGTGGGTGAAAAGGAAAATTTATGCTTATCTGTTTTTTAACTCCTTTATTTCTGGAAAAAAACAGACTAGTTATCTACATTAAACCATCCCTAAAAACTGAGAAATTGTGCTAACACCTAGCCTAATCTAGGTGATGGTGGCTCAGGGCTTGAGCTTGCCTTGTAAGGGATAGGTTGCTGGTTCAAACCCAGGCTTTGTCAGTTGTGTCCTTGGGCAAGACACTTAACCCCACCTTGCTGGCTGGAGATGGTCAGGGGGACCGACCATCTGCCAGTGAACCCCGGGGCAGGTGTGTGTGTGTGTGTGTGTGTGCGTGCGTGCGTGCGTGCGTGTGTGTGTGTGTGTGTGTGTGTGTGTGTGTGTGTGTGTGTGTGTGTGTGTGTGTGTGTGTGTGTGTGTGTGTTTGTGTGTGTGTGTGTGTGTGTGTGTGTGAATGACTAATTGTTGTAACGGAACGGAATCACTCTTGTTTTCCCTTCTTTGCTCAGGACTAGTCTGCATAAGAGAAAGTCTCAAGGTCTCATGCATTCCTTCTAACCTGCTTATTTTCAGCTCAACAGAAGAATGAAGAATGAACTCTTTTCTTTTAATTAATCAAATAACTCTATTTTAATAAAGCTAATCCATCAAAGTGTTAGTCAATAAATGAGATGTGACCGACCTGTGAAATCAAAATATTAATTACTTTAATATGAACCTATAGAATATAATAAGTACTGTGACTTTAAGTGTTCCAACAGGACTCATTTCACGAAGTGTTAAAAAGACATAACACATTACTTTCACTGATCCAATCAGAATCTGACGGAGGCGTGGTTCTGATGGTGTTTGGTAATTTTCATTCGACAATAAACCATAACATTCGAGGTATAAAACTACGCCACGTCAGCTCTAACACCAGTTCAAAGCGTTCCAGAGAAAGTGACGGAGTGGCCAATCCTGATCTTTTAACTCTTAAACCGAAAGAACAACGACAAGCTGAATAATCCAGTCGCTATAACAACTGGCGGCAACAGCCTTTCAGAACAAAAGCTCCATCCATCGACCCAGGCTTGGGTCTGACCAGACGCCAGTAACGTGTCGTGTGCCGGAAGTAACTTAAGACGGGTTTGATCGGAACCGCGGCTTCTCCTACCGGCTCGGTTCCAGAGAGGGTTCACTGGACCATGAAATTCCTGATCTACAGAGGACTTCCACCGAAGGCAAAGGTAGACCGGCAAATGGTGTCTCATGTTTTTCTGAAGCTAACCAAAGCTTATTTCAAAACAACATCTTCAGTTCCCGTCAGAACAATCGCTTCTTCTGATTTGCTGGTTCCGATTTACATCACACGCCATCCATTCACCGCCTCATCCATTTTTAGTTACACTATACATTTAGTTTTGAAGTCAGTCTAGTTTAATTTGTTAGTAATACAATTCTTAACTTTTAAACTTGACTCTCTCAATTCTGTTGTCTCTGAGTGAATACGTAACGGTTATCTAATCCCTACAATAAAAAGATCCAATCTTCTCGTTTAAATAACCCTGCGATCCGTAAGGTGGATTTCATATTTCCTGTGGAATCCCACACCTTATGGCTCATTAATTAAATGTAATATCTCAATTCATTACATTGTGTTGTAAATGCCATTTACCGTTAAGTTTTCCTTGACTTATCATAAACATGTGAAGTCTGAGACGTTTGTAACTCCATAACAGACGAATAGCGCCTGAGGGACAAAGTGAGGCTCTGCTGTCGCTTCCAAAAGCAACAGAAGAGCCTCGTTAAATTCACTTGAACAAAACAAAACAGACAAAATTCTGTTATCAAAGGGTGCATTCATTAAACCGGCCACAGAATGAGCTGGAGGAGAGAATGTCCTGGGTTATCGTCCCGTCTGAAGTCCCATTCATTCATGACACCCCCCACCTCACACACACACACACACACACACACACACACACACACACACACACACACACACGCACACAGGTCTTTTAGCAGTGGGCCAAAAATCATTGTCCTTAAATACAATATTGACTTTAAACTTTAAACAATGTAATAAACATAAGGTACCTTATTTAAGGAAAAATTGTACAAGAAGTGTAACCTAGTGAAGAAGTGCGTAAAAGTGCTTCAGTGAGCTAAAATTTAAACCTAAGCAACGGATAAAACCAAAGATCTGAATTATGGATGCAAATGGGCTTAAAATGTCATGGCTACATGACTTCTCAGTTGCAGCATGGGCTAATGACTTTTGGGTTGTAACGCACTTTGGGGGGTTCTAGGACTCCAGAGGGTGCTATATAAACACAGACCAATAAGAACATGTCTTACACGATTGCTTATGAACTTAAGTTTTAGTTAGATTGATTTTACGAAATCTCTTATTCTTGAAAAACCACTCATTAAAGGTGTGGGACAACCGCGTAAACAACACCTCTGCAGTGCTCTCTAGTAGCTTCAGGAACCAGCAGAATGCCACATCAGAGGTGAGCAGAACACGACAGGATATGGAGTCTTATATTTCATCTCTCCTCTGATTGGCTAACAGCAACATGACTCCACCACTGA